CTCACTCAGACATTGTTTACCTCGGGACACGTGTCCTCTCACTCAGCTTTGTTTATCTCGGGACACGTGTCCTCTCACTCAGACATTGTTTATCTCGGGACACGTGTCCTCTCACTCAGACATTGTTTATCTCGGGACACGTGTCCTCTCACTCAGACATTGTTTACCTCGGGACACGTGTCCTCTCACTCAGACATTGTTTACCTCGGGACATGTGTCCTCTCACTCAGACATTGTTTATCTCGGGACACGTGTCCTCTCACTCAGACATTGTTTACCTCGGGACATGTGTCCTCTCTAGTCTGCTCTCCAGTACGCAGACTCCACCAGACGTGCGCGCGCACCCACACACGCATGCCCGCACATATATAGAAATAGGTCATGTGGTCCGTGATATATAGGAAGATAACACCACCTGTTATCATATTGTCACGTAATGTAATAATCAGGTTTTAATGTTGATGGTTTATTTGTATTGCCGTTTAAACTAGGTTATCTTGAGGTTATCTTGAGATGATTTCGGGGCTTAGCGTCCCCGCGGCCCGGTCCTCGACCAGGCCTCCTTTTTGTCACACACCCCCAGCAAGCAGCCCGTAGCAACTGTTTAACTCCCAGGTACCTATTTACTTCTAAGTGAACATGTTCATCAGGGTGAAAGAAACTTTATGTGAAGATCTTGAAAAACTGCATGCAAATGGCTACTAGAGTTCAACCCCATCAAATGTAAGGTGATAAAGTTGGAAAATAAGGAGAAGGAGACCATGTACAACCTGCATCATAAGAGCAAGGTAGTTATGTGAATCGGAAAATGAAAGGCTTGAAGAATGCCTCATTTCCTTTGATGGCCGCGGTGCGTCTCGGCTCCAGATGGATGAGGGGAGAGATGGACGTGTCCCTAGTGGATGACAACTCCTGGGGACACCACCACCATGAGGGTGATGTGGACTATCACCCACATGGTGGTGGGTGATAGTCCATCCTCATGTGATGAGGATGATCCACTCATTCATCACATGTGAGAGAGTGACAGAGCTCCGCGTGGCTGATAATGTCCTGAGTTAATGTTTAACGCTGCCAACATTAACCCTTGAATGGCAGAGGAGCAAGTCATCAGTTAGAGTAAGTGAAATGTGGTGTTACATTACCCTAGACTTGTGTTGTCATTGCATTAACATATCTTATTCTCTCTTGTGTTCATGACGATATCCTCATAATGGATATCATCATGATATCCCAGCGTTTTCCAGTGCAGACTACTAATCATATGCCTTCAGATGACTAACCATCCTGTGTGATGGAGATTTTTTAGCATCACGTAGCTAGCTTTTTGTCACACTGTTCTCCCCTTCGTATAGTCTAGGGTAGCTGCACAAATGTACATGTACCTAAATGTGTTAATACATTTAGGTGTGGGCACACATATTCTCACATGAGGGAGGGGTGCCGGGGGAGGTGCTGACACTCACAGCACACACACACACATCAGGGCGACATTCTCACACCACACACCACTCCTCTCACCTCGTTCATAATCATTATCTCTAATGGTTTCCTCTAAAAATATTGGGTTCATCTCTTACAGTACCTCTTTCCCCTCTCCCCTCCCTCTCTCCATCTCTCTCCCTCTCCCTCTCTCCATCTCTCTCCCTCTCCCTCTCCCCCTCTCCCTCCCATTAAGGCCGACACGTGACCTCCAGTGCCCGGACAACGGGGTCAAAGCACCAACGAAAGAGGCCCCGAGCGGAAAAAGCCGCCGTTACCAATGAGTGTTAAAAAAGACACAAGAGTTATGAGTTCAATATATCGGAGAAAAAAGTAATTATGTTCTCTCAGATTGTCACGACGAATTATACAACTATATGAGGTAAATATCGGGAATACTCCAGCAATATTTTGTGTCGTTCTTCTCTGTCGTAGAATATTCCCGATGGCAAGATGTGGGGAGGCGTTATATATTGTAGTCACACTCGGCCGTAATATCTCACACTTGAAGACAGAGAGGGGGGAATTGTATACGTTCCCTTCATTGTTCTCTCTCTCTCTCTCTCTCTCTCTCTCTCTCTCTCTCTCTCTCTCTCTCTCTCTCTCTCTCTCTCTCTCTCGTTTCTTCTAGCGTCGTCAGGTTCAGTTCTTTCAGTCGCTCCTCATACTCTAGTCCTCGCAGTTCAGGGACGAGCCTCGTCGCAAACTTCTGACCCTTTTATAGTTTCCTTGTATGTTTCTTCAGGTGGGGACTCCATGATGGGGCGGCATACTCTTAAGACTGGTCTCACGTAAGCAGTGTAAAGGTTCTTAAAAGCCTCCTCACTTAGGTTTCTGAATGATACTTTAACTTTTGCCAGTGTAGAGTCACCTATTTGTTTTTACCTAGTTGTGCTTGTGGGGTTGATCTCTGGCTCTTTGGTCCCGCCTCTCAACTGTCAATCAACTGGTGTACAGATTCCTGAGCCTACTGGGCTCTATCATATCTACATTTGAAACTGTGTATGGAGTCTGCCTCCATCACATCACTTCCTAAAACATTCCATTTACTAACTACTCTGACACTGAAAAAGTGCTTCCTAATGTCTCTGTGGCTCATTTGCGTACTCAGCTTCCACCTGAGAGTGGAATTATAGCAAGCAAGCACAACTAGGTGAGTACACACACGCACATACACAAAGTTATGGAAATGGGACTAGGAGATAGGAGACCAAAGGGCCAGTACACAATGAAGGGGAACTGCCTACCTGTGACAATTCCAGAAAGAGACCTGGGCGTGGACGTAACACCTAATCTATCTCCTGAGGCACATATAAATAGGATAACGACAGGAGCGTACTCTACACTGGCAAAAGTTAGAACATCATTCAGAAACCTAAGTGAGGAGGCTTTTAGGGCGCTTTACACTGCCTTCGTGAGACCATTCTTAATGTATGCCGCCCCATCATGGAGTCCCCACCTGAAGAAACACATAAGGAAACTTGAAAAGGTTCAGAAGTTTGCGACGAGGCTGGTCCCAAAGTTACGAGGGATGGGGTATTAAGAGCGCCGGAAGGAACTGAACCTTAGGCCACTAGAAAAAAGAAGGGAGAGAGGGATATGATAGGAACGTATATAATACTCAGAGGACTTGACAAAGCGGAAATAGATGAAATGTTCAAACATAATATTAACAGAACGAGGGGACATGGGTGGAAAATGGAAAACTCAGATGAGTCACAGAGATGTTAGGAAGTTTTCTTTTAGCGTTTAGAGTAGTGGGAAAATGGAATGCACTTAAGGAACAGGTTGTGCTAGCAAGCTCTATTCATAATTTTAAAACTAGATATGATAGGGAAATGGGACAAGAGTCATTGCTGTAAACAACCGATGCTCGAAAGGCGGGATCCAAGTGTCAATGGTCGATCCTGCAGGCACAAATAGGTGAGTACACACACACACACACACACACACACACACACACACACACACACACACACTGGACCCAAGTATGTACATGAGAAGAAATGTTTCTCCGTAGTTCACGTGTGTACATACAAGTTTTTCTTTGGTAGGTGTGTGTATGGGGTTGTGTGGGTGTGTGATTAGTGGGGAGTAGATACACACCTCGTTATTATCCCGGCCCCCTCCCCACGAGTGCCTCGCCTCCCCACGAGTGCCTCGCCTCCCCACGCGTGCCTCGCCTCCCCACGCGTGCCTCGCCTACCCACGAGTGCCTCGCCTCCCCACGAGTGCCTCGCCTCCCCACGCGTGCCTCGCCTCCCCACGCGTGCCTCGCCTCCCCACGAGTGCCTCACCTCCCCACGCGTGCCTCGCCTCCCCACGCGTGCCTCGCCTCCCCACGAGTGCCTCGCCTCCCCATGCGTGCCTCGCCTCCCCACGCGTGCCTCGCCTCCCCACGAGTGCCTCGCCTCCCCACGAGTGCCTCGCCTCCCCACGAGTGCCTCGCCTCCCCACGAGTGCCTCGCCTCCCCAAGAGTGCCTCGCCTCCCCACGAGTGCCTCGCCTCCCCACGAGTGCCTCGCCTCCCCACGCGTGCCTCGCCTCCCCACGCGTGCCTCGCCTCCCCACGAGTGCCTCGCCTCCCCACGAGTGCCTCGCCTCCCCACGAGTGCCTCGCCTCCCCACGAGTGCCTCACCTCCCCACGCGTGCCTCGCCTCCCCACGCGTGCCTCGCCTCCCCACGAGTGCCTCACCTCCCCACGCGTGCCTCGCCTCCCCACGCGTGCCTCGCCTCCCCACGAGTGCCTCGCCTCCCCATGCGTGCCTCGCCTCCCCACGCGTGCCTCGCCTCCCCACGAGTGCCTCGCCTCCCCACGAGTGCCTCGCCTCCCCACGAGTGCCTCGCCTCCCCAAGAGTGCCTCGCCTCCCCAAGAGTGCCTCGCCTCCCCAAGAGTGCCTCGCCTCCCCACGAGTGCCTCGCCTCCCCACGCGTGCCTCGCCTCCCCACGCGTGCCTCGCCTCCCCACGCGTGCCTCGCCTCCCCACGAGTGCCTCGCCTCCCCACGCGTGCCTCGCCTCCCCACGCGTGCCTCGCCTCCCCACGAGTGCCTCGCCTCCCCACGAGTGCCTCGCCTCCCCACGAGTGCCTCGCCTCCCCACGAGTGCCTCGCCTCGCCACGGGTTCCTCGCCACGGGTTCCTCGCCACGGGTTCCTCGCCACGGGTGCCTCGCCACGGGTGCCTCGCCACGGGTTCCTCGCCACGGGTGCCTCGCCACGGGTGCCTCGCCACGGGTTCCTCGCCACGGGTTCCTCGCCACGGGTTCCTCGCCACGGGTGCCTCGCCACGGGTGCCTCGCCACGGGTTCCTCGCCACGGGTTCCTCGCCACGGGTTCCTCGTCACGGGTGCCTCGCCACGGGTGCCTCGCCACGGGTTCCTCGCCACGGGTGCCTCGCCACGGGTTCCACGCCACGGGTTCCTCGCCACGGGTGCCTCGCCACGGGTGCCTCGCCACGGGTGCCTCGCCACGGGTGCCTCGCCCTACACAATGTTGATTCCCACTCAACACTTTTAATGCCTTGTGGTGCCTTCTCTTCCACCTTCAGATTTTTACACCCTGCTGGGTACACACAGGGTGTACACCCTGCTGGGTACACACAGGGTGTACACCCTGCTGGGTACACACAGGGTGTACACCCTGCTGGGTACACACAGGGTGTACACCCTGCTGGGTACACACGGGCTCTACACCTTGTTGGGTACACACAGGGTGTACACCCTGCTGGGTACACACAGGGTGTACACCCTGCTGGGTACACACAGGGTGTACACCCTGCTGGGTACACACAGGGTGTACACCCTGCTGGATACACACAGGGTGTACACCCTGCTGGGTACACACAGGGTGTACACCCTGCTTGGTACACACAGGCTCTACACCTTAAGGTGTCCTTGGGGACACGTAATGAATGCTTGGAATGAATCGTGGCTAATTGAGAATAATGATTCCTTCTGCGCATGTTTAAATGGACTGTCAGGGGGTGGTGTTATGGTGCCTGGTGTGTTACACCTGGCAGTATGGTGCCAGGTGTAACATGGGTGTTCTGTAGTACACCTCTCACAGATCACCTATAACCTCCCTACCCGCAGGGAAGGTCTGAGAGTGTGTGGAGGCGACGGCTGGACCATCAAGCAACTGTGTCCTCCATCTCTTGATTCATTTCCCTGTTGTTTCCTGGCGTCAGCTTGGGGATAAACACGACCTCAAGCCTACGGAGCCTCGTACGAGGGGTGGAGGTGTAGGTAATTACACCTCCAACCTCAGAGAAACAGACAATCCACTCTATAGGTAGAGATGGGAAAGTAAAGGAGATAAACAGATAAACACGCATGTGTTTATCTATGTTTATCTATGTTTATAGGAAAAGCAATGGAGGAAGGAGGAAAAGATGAGGTAATTTGTATTTGTTAAGGAAATGCTTATATGAAGGGTTATGTGATCAGTAGTTTGCACTTACAATGTTGAGTGCATTATGAGGATATCCTCAGCAACGTCTGACATCGTTTGACTGGCGTCTGACAGCTGAGTGGACAGCGCTTCGGATTCGTAGTCCTTTGGTTCCGGGTTTGATCCCTGGTGGAGGCGGAGACAAATGGGCAAAATGTTTCTTTCACCTTGATGTCCCCCTGTTACCTAGCGGTAAATAGGTACCTGGGAGTTAGTCAGCTGCTACAGGCTGCTTCCTGGGGAGGGGGTGTAACAAAAAGGAGGCCTGGTCGAGGACCGGGCCGCGGGGACGCTAAGCCGTGAAATCATCTCAAGATAATCTCAAGATAACATGAGTGTGAAAGCAAGTGATTTCAAAACTTGAGATAGCTCATACCGGCATCTCTGAAGCGTCTAATGCAATATATAATCTCACCTATGGCCCAGTTAATGCTCCTCCTAGAGTATAATGTGAGATTATGGTCCAGTTAATGGTCCTAGAGTATAATGTGAGATTATGGCCCAGTTAATGGTCCTCCTAGAGTATAATGTGAGATTATGGTCCAGTTAATGGTCCTCCTAGAGTATAATGTGAGATTATGGTCCAGTTAATGGTCCTCCTAGAGTATAATGTGAGATTATGGCCCAGTTAATGGTCCTAGAGTATAATGTGAGATTATGGTCCAGTTAATGGTCCTCCTAGAGTATAATGTGAGATTATGGTCCAGTTAATGGTCCTCCTAGAGTATAATGTGAGATTATGGCCCAGTTAATGGTCCTCCTAGAGTATAATGTGAGATTATGGCCCAGTTAATGGTCCTAGAGTATAATGTGAGATTATGGTCCAGTTAATGGTCCTCCTAGAGTATAATGTGAGATTATGGCCCAGTTAATGGTCCTAGAGTAATGGTGACGGAGCCCCGCCTGAGCCTGGCAGCCACAATGTCTGACTGTCTGCTGGACGTTGTGGTGCTGGCCTCAGACTTCGCCATAACTCTACGCTCACCACTATCCACATTTCACTACTCAACTTGCTTCTACGGCTTCATCCGAAATAAATTATTCCAGTTGTAGGGGTGGACGTTAGAGCGACAGTCTCCCTTCATGCAGGTCGGCGTTCAATCTCCCGACCGTCCAAGTGGTTGGGCACCATTCCTTTCCCCGCCCTCCCCCCCCCCATCTCCTGTCCCAACCCAAATCCTTATCCTGATCCCTTTCCTGGAGACACCTGTGGGGTAATCTGAGAAAGCAGTATGTACTTTTTAATTAGTGAATATTTTGTATTTTTGTTTTATATTTTTTAGTTTATTTATTATTACTTCTAATAGTGGACTGTATGTAAATTCAGCCTGCCAGTTTTACCTGAACACATAGTTGGGGGTTTGATGGTAAATGTACACAGCTTATGAACAAATCCACAAGGGCCGTGACGAGGATTCGAACAGAGCCCGTGTTCTCCCTGAGACAGCTTCAAGAAAAGTGCAGGGAGCAGAGAAAAGCCCTGTACATCGCCTTCATTGACCTATCATTGACCTTACAAAAGCCTTCGACCTCGTGAGCAAGGACGAACTCTTCAAGATCTTGGCCAAAATTGGCAGCCCACCCACACTACTCAGCATGATACAATCGTTCCACGAGGACATGAAGGGCACGGTCGTGTACGACGGCTCAACCTCTGAACCATTCAACGTCAACAGGAGTGTTAAACAGGGATGCGATCTTGCTCCGACCCTATTTGGCATCTTCGCGATCCTCGTCAAGCATGCCTTTGGAACAACCACAGAGGGCATCTATCTCCATACAAGATCTGATGGAAAGCTCTTCAATCTATCCAGACTCCGAGCAAAGATGAAAGTACAGATAAGAATCCTCAGGAATCCTCTTCGCCGACGACGCAGCGATCACCACACACAGCAGAAGGTCTGCAGCAGCTACTCAATCACTTTGCCGCAGCCTGTTCTGTATTCGGCTTAGCAATCAGCCTGAAGAAGATGCAGGTGATGGGACAAGATGTCAATGAGCTACCCTATATAAATATAGCAGACTATGTGCTGGAGGCGGTCCACGAGGTTGTGTACCTGGGCTCCACAATCTCAGACAACCTTTCCCTGGACACTGAGCTCAACAGACATATTGGGAAGGCCGCAACAACACTGGCCAGATTGACAAAGGGCAAATGTCAAACTGTCAGTGCACACCAAGGCGCAGGTCTACATGGCATGTGTGGCAAGTACACTTCTCTACAGCTCGGAGTCCTGGGCCCTGCGCTCTCGCCAGGAGAGACAGCTCAATACCTTTCACATGCGGAACCTGAGACGCATCCTTGACATCACGTGGAGAGACCAAGTCACCAAAAACAACTGTGCTTGAGAGAACAGGAGTGAACTTCAATGTTCACTCTCCTGAAGCAGAGACGCATGCGATGGCTGGGACATGTCACAGGCATGGAAGATGGCCGCATACCGAAGGACCTCTTATATGGAGAACTGGCATCAGGAAAACGGCCTACCAGAAGACCTCAGCTGCGTTTCAAAGACACCAGCAAACACGACCTCAAGCGGCTGAACATCGACGCAGCTACTGCCACTTGGGAGGCAGCAGCTGCGGACAGATCAGCCTGGAGATGCAAAGTGCAGAAGAGACTCCAGCAATTCGAGGGTGAACTGAAGAGGCAGGCGGAGGATAATAGACTTCAGAGGAGGTCTCGACCACTGACAGACGCAACCACTTCGGTGTTTATCTGCGCTCGCTGCGGTCGGGTCTGCCGTTCTCAGGGTGGCCTTCACAGCCACAGCAGACGCTGCACCCAACCAGACATCCAGGGACACAACTCCATAACCCCATGAGATTGACGGATGCCTACTACTAGTGTTATCATGGTGGTAATGGTTATCGTTATTGTGTTTAGTGTGATGTTTGCTATCATAATAATGGCGGGCGTTTTTATGGTGGTATTAGGTGTGTTGGTGGGTGTTATTATGGTGGTTATGGATGTTATCTTGGTTATTGGTGTTATCTTGGTCGTGGTGGATGTTATCAAGATAATGGTGGGTCCTATCTTGGTGGTGGTGGGTGTCATCATGGTGGTGGTGGGTGTTATCATGGTAGTGGTGGGTGTTATCATGGTGGTGGTGGGTGTTATCATGGTGGTGGTTGTGGTGGGTGTTATCATGGTGGTGGTAAATGTCATCGTGGTGGTGGTGGGTGTTATCATGGTGGTGGTGAGTGTTATCATGGTGGTGGTGGCGGGTGTTATCATGGTGGAGTTATCATGGTGGTGGTAAAGGATGATAAGTAATAAGGATGTAATGTTTGTTTTTAATTACATGGGAATATGTATGTGCAGAAGCTGGTAATAAAAGTGCCTTTGTTGACTGTAGTGAGGGTGTTGGTGTGAGGGTGTTGGTGTGAGGGTGTTGGTGTGAGGGTGTTGGTGTGAGGGTGTTGGTGTGAGGGTGTTGGAGTGAGGGTGTTGGTGTGAGGGTGTTGGTGTGAGGGTGTTGGTGTGAGGGTGTTAGTGTGAGGGTGTTGGTGTGAGGGTGTTGGAGTGAGGGTGTTGGAGTGAGGGTGTTGGAGTGAGGGTGTTGGTGTGAGGGTGTTGGTGTGAGGGTGTTGGTGTGAGGGTGTTGGTGTGAGGGTGTTGGTGTGAGGGTGTTGGTGTGAGGGTGTTGGTGTGAGGGTGGTGGTGTGAGGGTGTTGGTGTGAGGGTGTTGGTGTGAGGGTGTTGGTGTGAGGGGAGTGGAGTGAGGGTGGTGGTGTGAGGGGGGTGGAGTGAGGGTGTTGGTGTGAGGGTGGTGGTGTGAGGGTGTTGGTGTGAGGGTGTTGGTGTGAGGGTGTTGGTGTGAGGGTGTTGGTGTGAGGGGGGTGGAGTGAGGGTGGTGGTGTGAGGGGGGTGGAGTGAGGGTGTTGGTGTGAGGGTGGTGGTGTGAGGGTGTTGGTGTGAGGGTGTTGGTGTGAGGGGGGTGGAGTGAGGGTGGTGGTGTGAGGGGGGTGGAGTGAGGGTGTTGGTGTGAGGGTGGTGGTGTGAGGGTGTTGGTGTGAGGGTGTTGGTGTGAGGGTGTTGGTGTGAGGGTGTTGGTGTGAGGGTG